GGTGTGTTTAAGGTTTCTTTCTAGTTATATTTATTAGTGGAGGAATTTTTCAGTGATTTCAATGGTTTAATATTGAGTTATATTATTTGGATACTTTTTTTTTTAATTGATTTAAGAGGAAAAGACAAATAGATACATATATATAGATAGATTAACGATGAAGTCCTTTAGTAATAATAGTAATAATAATAATATTGATAATAATAGTAATAATAATAATAGTAATAATAATAATATATCTTCGGGGAAAAGTAGTACAATATCAATATCAAGATTATTCAAAAATTCATTTAGACGGAAAGGTACTGCTGATATTGAACAGACGGATTTGGTAAATAACAGCAGCAATAAAGAAAATATTGTGTCTCCGCAAGCGGTACATTTAATGGATCAACATCCTGACCATATTCCTCATTCAAAATTGTCGGGTGATTCACCACTCTCAGCTTCTCAAAGTATTAATAATATTAACAACGGTAATGACAAGGGTGCTAATGATAGTAATAATAATATTCATGATTTAAACAGAAAAGATAAGAAATCAAAAAAATTGCAAGGTTTTATGATAGGTTCAAAATCTTATGAAAATTATACAAAAAGTTATAACGGCTCTACTAACTCCTTAAGAAATGATAGTGCAGACTACTCGCCTTCAAATACTGCATTCTCATCGTCAACATATATACCCAAGGAAATATTGAATTCAAGTATCAGTTCTTTCAATGAAGTGAGAGAATATCAAGAATTCCAAGAAAATCTATCAGATAAAGATAGATTTAGATATTCAAATTCCACAGATAATGACCTTCAATTTCCTGGTATTATGATAGATTATAATGATGATAAAGCCATTCAAGATGAAATAATTGAATCGGCATCGGTTCAAAGTAAAGATTTTCTCAATGATTCTAAATCTTTAGATCAAAATATTGAACGTTCAAACGAGAACAAGTTCAGTAAAAGTAGTTCACAAAATGAATTGTACCTTCATAGATCAAAACTATTGGAATCAAAACCTTATAGCAAAAGGTTTTGTGATACAAAAGTTGGCCCTGAATCTTTCGAGAAAGTTAAACTATTAGGTCAAGGTGATATCGGAAAAGTCTACCTAGTAAAGTATACCAAAACTAACAGATTGTACGCATTAAAAGTTTTAAGTAAATCAGAGATGTTAAAAAGAGATAAAGTTAGAAGAATATTAACCGAACAAGAAATATTAGCAACAAGTGTACATCCTTTTATTGTTCCACTGTATCACTCATTTCAAACTGATAAATACATTTATTTATGTATGGAATATTGTATGGGTGGTGAATTTTTTCGTGCATTACAAACAAGACAAAGAAAATGCATCTGTGAAGAATCTGCTAGGTTTTATACTAGTGAAGTTGTAGCAGCATTGGAGTATTTGCATTTATTAGGTTATATTTACAGAGACTTGAAACCAGAAAATATTTTATTGCATAGTTCAGGTCATATAATGCTTGCAGATTTCGATTTATCAATTAAAGCAAAAAGTACCAAGCAACCGGTATTTAAAAAGATTGCTCAAGGCGCACTCATCGATACTAAAGTTTGTTCAGAAGGTTTCAGAACAAATTCTTTTGTTGGTACGGAAGAATACATTGCACCAGAAGTTATTAGAGGAAATGGACATACAACAGCTGTCGATTGGTGGACACTTGGGATTTTATTATTTGAAATGTTATATGGGTTTACACCTTTTAAAGGTGATAATACAAATGAAACTTTTGGTAAAATTTTGAAAGAACCTGTAAAGTTTCAAAGCAATGTTGACGTTTCTAAAACTTGTAGAGACCTTATTAAAAAATTGTTAATAAAGAATGAAACAAAACGATTAGGTTCGAATCTTGGTGCAGCTGATATTAAATCGCATCCGTTCTTTAAAAATACCCAATGGTCTTTCCTTAGAAACCAAGAACCTCCTCTTTTGCCAGTTCTAACAAATGAAGGCTTTGAATTTAAAAAGAATGAAGCAGATGAAGGTGGAAAAAATAAATTCAACGACTATCGTTCAGGAAGTGATGGGGAAGATTCTATTTTTGAAGGAAAGGTACAACATGATGATAATATAGGGAAAAATGATCCTTTTCATGACTTTAATTCAATGACACTTCTTAAGGACGATTCCACTTCTATGATATACAAAGAATTCGACCCATATGGAGTAATATTTTACAAGCAAAATTCAACTGCTGTACAGCATACCTCCAAGAGTTTTTTTAGTAGATCATGATTTAAGTAATGAATTATTTATTTAAGTCCATATATATTCCCTTCTAAACTCATGCATGACTACTCATAAATGAATAGATTTCGTAATTATTATTTAATTCTTATTGAAGTGTTGCTCTGGTGGTGAGGGTAAGCCTTACGAACGGTTACAACTCTTGACTATCATTTTGAAGGTTTAAGATTTCAATGATTTTTTGCTGTGGTTTCAAATCGTTTGAACTTAAGATATGCTTCAGAAGTATTGGTAAATTCATGGTATTGGCTGTTTCTGTTTCTTGACGGATTTTCTCTGATATCGAGAATGCATGGTTAATTATGTCCTTATCAATTTGAGCTAAGCGAGCAACATTCAAACCAAATGAACTATCGGTTATCCCACTTCTTAATTTATACAGGAATACAATACTTGGCCAGTCTTCGCCTTCTTTTTTCTGTTCTACAAAGTCCATATAGTAACTTTTTAATATTTTGGAATTTATAGAACCAAGAAATGGATAATGCGTTGTGAATAGTACTAAAGGACAAACTGGTAAGTTAATAAAATAGTCTACTATAGAATATGAAATGGCTTTACCATCCTCTGTTGATGTTCCTCTTCCAACTTCATCTAGTAGTAATAGGGAATTTTCAGTTTTGTTTTTTATGATATTTTGAATCTCTAAAAGTTCAACTTTAAAAGTAGATTGTCCTTTTAGTAAGTTATCGTAAGCGCCAATTCTAGTTAATATTTTGTCAAAAATACTTGTCTTCATAAAATCAGCAGGTACATATGAGCCTACCTGGGCAAGAATTACAAGCAATGCAACTTGTCTAATATAGGATGATTTCCCACCCATGTTAGGACCTGTAATAATCAGGAATTTCCCTGCAGAATGTGATAGATTGACATCATTTGGGACATAATTTATATCTAGCGATTCAATAATTGGATTTCTTGCATTTTTGGCATCAATAAATTGTGATTCGTCAGTAAGCACCGGTCTAACGTAGTTCATATTCTGTGAGGTTGAAGCTAATGCTAAAATGCAATCATAAGTTGCAATATGATTTATTATTTTATTAAGTGCAAAGTAATCATTTTTAATCCTTTTAACAAACTGGAAATACTCTTTTTGAGTTTCTTGATATAGGATATCTTTTTGATATTGTAATTTTTCAATTAATTTTCGTGAAGTCGGTGTATGATATCTACTGATCATTTTTGTTCTATTTACAACAATCCAATCGCTAGGCAAACCCTTAGTTTGAGTATTTCTAACTTCGATTAAATAATCCATTTCATCTTTGTAATTCAAATGTGGTCTCTTAAGAATTTTTCTGATCGATGATAATTCTTCAGCTAATTCGTTTTTAACTTCATTAATATTTCCTTGAATTTTGATTATTTCTTCTGCATGATCGTAATAATTTAAATTAAAAAATTCTGATACCTGTTTATATGTATCCTTTTCCATTACGGAAGACACATTTATCATTGATAATATATTCTCAATGTTAATTTCCTTTAGTCCAGAAGTAATCTCTGTTAACAGGTTTGTCAGAAGTGCAGATGATTTATGAATTCTTCCATCATTGGACACAACTTGAGAATTTAAATAATTACTGTGAAGCTGGAAATGATCACTAAAAGATTTCATTTGTTTTAAAAAATAGTATATTTCTTTTCTCGACGTAGTGCCATAGGCAATTCTATTGATCGTACGAAGTAGATCAGGAACATTTGTTAGCATCTTATTCAATGATTCGAAAAATATATTGCTCACTTCATGAATAATACAATCTACTGCATCTAATCTATCTTCGATTTCTTTTTTATCCAGCAATGGGTGTAAAATCCATTCTCTAAGCTTTCTTGATCCAAAAGAAGTTCTGGTATGATCTAATAACCAAAATAATGATCCTTTTCCTCCTTCTTCCCCAAATATACCTAGGCTTTCAATAGCAGCGGCATTTAAAACCATATGCTTCTTGGAAGCGAATGGTTTGTAATTTTCTGATATAAGTAATAGCTCTTCGTTGTTGTATTCGGTTAAATACTTATATAAAACGGGTACTAATTCAAAAAGTTCAGCTGACAAATTCAATCCCTTTGTAGATTTATTTATTTCTTCCATTATTTCCTTGTCGATATCTTCCTTCTCCTTTAATAATATGGTAGAATTTGAACCATGTAATCTTAACTTAACTTTCTCTGGTAATGCAGATACAGTTAATACTTCTATAGGGTTTAAATATTTGATTCTTGTCTCTAAATTTTCTATTGAAGTAGTAGAACATTCAAAAGTATCATATATTATCTCACCACTATTTAGATTAACTGATATCATGAAAAATGAACTATTAATTTTATCTATCTCAGAAAAATTAATGATCCATATGCTATTATATTGACCTAATACGTTTTTTCTATTAGAACTGAATGCTGAGTTAATTCCAAATGTTGCCTTGGTGTATACCCCAGAAATTTTTCTCTCGAATACTGAATTTTTTGAAGATGCGTTAGAATTCTTTTTAATAGCACTGGTTTCGGATTGTTCAACTACAGCAACTTTCAAATTATTATGAACCAAAGTTTCTAGATGAACCTTCAGCCTAATATCAGGGAATGAGCAATATGCGAACTGCCTGTAATTTGAATCCTGTGGATTCGATTCATCTATTGTAAGCTTCCCAGGAATTAGCATAATATGTAAAATTTTGCTAACTATTTCGGCGTCTTGAGCAAAACATTTATATTTATAACCAACTCTTATCACTAATATTTTATCCATATGCAGCAACTTTAAATCTTTGACTTGTTGATCCAGTGGTGTCAACTTATTACTGTTGTTTTTTGATTTTTTAACAATAGTGTCATTTTCTCCATCGGAATCATCATTGTCATTATTTGAAATTACTCTCTTTTTATCATTCCAAATTCTATTCAATTTTTCTGCAAAATCCATTGACTTGTTCTCAGCGGTAACAGTTCCATTTTTAATTTCAATTTTTGGTTCACTTTCATGTTCAATTTCAACTTCAATTTCAATTACTTCATCTGTAACCGTTTCGGCAGCAGCATCAAAACCCTTGGGCATCAATCTTGATGTAGTCGCCGGCTCGTTATGTTTCTCTTCATCCAAATCCACGGGTTTCTCCTTTTCAACTCCTTTCTCACTAGTCACTTCTTTTCGAGCTATGGGTTTGAAAAACCTGCTGATAACTGGCTGCTTGGACATATTATAGAATAGTCAGTTACCATTCAGTTTCTTTTCAAAAACCCTTTTTCCACCTCAAATAAACCCTTTCTTCGCCAAACAAACTGCAAAGAAACAATATATATATCAATTGGTAATAAATCCGGGACTGATTAATACTGAATATCACTGATTTACATGCCCTATCGCCAATTTTACACTCACTAATTGCTTGATATTTCAGCTTTTTGCATTGAAATACTTCGATTCTTATGATATCGAGACGAAATTTCAATCATTTTACACGAAGCAATGGTTTCCGTTTCGTTCCTTTCTCGATAATAAATTTTATAAAAAAAAGTTATCACCAACAAGAAAAATATTTACTTTTAAGAGACCTTTAATAAGAAAGGTATTTATTAAATAGAGATAAATTTTAGTTGAAAAGAGGGTATAAGCTGGTAGTATACGTGGATTAAATATACTTCTGGACAACATTTGATTGAGATATCATTAGTGGTTGTCAAATTTTACTTTTTATTTTCAATTTAGAAGGTTTTGAATTGGTTTTAAATTTTAGTGTTCTTTAATCGTTTTAGTATTTGTTGTTGTTATTGTAAATATTTAAAGCTCTAAATATACACAACTTATAGAATTGATTGATACCTAGAGACACAGATTTATTTGGGTGACGAATATATAGTTTGATTTAATTGCTAGTGTTGTGACTAAATTTATTTTTTTGATTTTGTCTTTTTTTATTTGTTCTTAATGGAAATTTTTTAATAAGAGAAGAAAGATTAAGGATTAGTTACAGAAGGTGTAGAGAGATNAATACAAAAAAGAAAAAGAAAAATACGAAACATGGAATATAACAGGCATTTACAAAGTTTTATAACTCAAACGACAACAGATTCGTTTGGTTTCCAATCTTTCTGATTGNTTTAATTCTTAGATGGNGAAATTTTAATGATATGGGGGCTTTGCTATTATCAAAAATTTGGCTCCTTAATCCCAAAATATACACAAACCCCACGAAATAGTGGTGAACCCCGTTTCTGTACAAA